GAGCACCAAAGACTCTGGGCTGTGACAGGCATGGGCAGCGTGCCCGTGTCGTGCCTCCCCCGTTGGCTCTGAGCACTGCACAAGCATTCTTCCTTCCCATTTGCTCTGGGTTATCTAACGCTCCCTGTTTTCGGAGAACTCCCATCAGTCTCTTATAAAATGTGCTCCTGCTTGTTGCAGATACTTGGCAAATAGGTCAAAAAGGCACACTCTGGCAATGACCAACCCTACAGCTGAAATCCCTCCAGACTTGCAGAGGCAGCTAGGACAGCAGTCCTTCCGACCCCGGGCTTGGGCTCCACACCTGGTACCCGATCAGCACCGGTGAGTAGTGGCACCGGCCGTTCGGGCAGCTTTGCGCCAGGACACCCGCTCCCACGTCATCCGGAGTAACGGAGCACTGAGGACATCCCGCTCAGCAGGGAGGGGTGAGGAGGAGGAATGAGTACAAAGAGCAGGCCTGCAGCGCAGAGACTGCTTGGCCACGCCGGGGACGCTGGAGCCCTGCGCTGGCGCGGGCTCCGTGCCCACAGATCCGGGCGACACAGGGGCAGGAGTCGGCTGGCTCTTCCCCTCCAGGCTCGCTTTTATGGCTGGGGAATGAACGTCACCGTGAGGGTTGGGAAGGAGCTCTTCATTTTAGAGGAGAGCATTTGTGTTGCAGTGGTAGGTGTCAGGCTAGCCAGAGAGAGCAGAGTTTCTACAGAAGTTTTTGGAGGCAGATGCAGGCAAAAGACCGCACGACAGTCATCTACAGCAGAGCTTAAAAATCTCACTGTTCTGCACCAGAGTTGTGTGTTTTGACTGCAAAGTCTCTCTGCAAAGCTCCTCAAGAGTCATTTTATTTCTGATCTGAACCACTGGCGGGAACGATGTGGGGAAAGGGAGCGGCTGGAAAGAAAATCACGATGCCTGGGAAGGAGGGAACTGATCCGGCTTGGCTCTGAACACCCAGGGGAGGTGTGGGTGGGGCGCTCCCCATGGAGAGGGGGCTTCGATTGACACGGAGTCCTCGGTGCAGCAGCACACCCGAGGCGCTACCGCCCCAGAGGGAGCTGAAGACCTGCCCTCTGAACCTTTGGGTCCGGATCGCAAACCGGCTGCAAAGTGCAGAGTTTGCTGTCTGTTGAGAAAGCAGCCGCCTCCCAGGCGAGAGGGGCTCGTGTTCAATCTTTAAGCCGGCTCCCACTGGCAGGCTTGACAAAGCACTTTTTATTGTAGCCAGATACCTGCTGAGCTGAGCACTGATGTAATCAGCAGAGACAGGTGAACTCTGAGCAGACCGAGACAGTGCTAGTGCCACGCTGGAACTCCGGAAAACCGAGATAAGCACCTCTCTACCCTGAAGTTACTCCCTCGCAGAGGTGCTCGGGGGATGGGAGGAGCAGGAGGGGAAGGATTTCTAGGGTCCCAGAAGGGCTTGATAGGAAGAGGAGTGCAGCTTGCAAAACAACCCGAATGTGCTGTGTCCAGCTTTAAAGATTGCCTCAAAACTGTAAAGGTAAGCCGGGTCACTCACGCACTGCAGGAATTGATTTTTTCCCACATTGTTAAAACACGTTTACCCTGTAAATACGGTGCTGTCGCCTCTTGGCTTTGGATTCCTGAGGCTGTTCTGTTGCGTCATGAACAGGAGGGTATCTGGTCGTTCCACCCTTGGTGTTGTAACGTGCTGTGAGCCTGCCTCATGCTTTCCCTGCAAACCACGCAAAATTCATCTGACTGTGGCCTACAGAGCGTGCCCTGTGTTGTGGCCAGGACCTAGATGGCACAGAAACCGTTAGCGGTCTTGTGTCATCACGTACATAAGCCTCAATCCTTGAACGGCAGGTGCCTTCTGTTGTAGCACCTAGTGTATTTTAAGCCATCTTCTAAGTAGCACCTGGGTTTGGTCACGATCACCTCGTACCTGAAAGTGGAACTGAAGCACAAGGATGGTACCAGGCGGCACAATTGTTCTGCCTTGGCCGCGTGGGTTTGGGCACCTCGCTGTCATTCTGTCTGTAGCTGCTGCTTCCCATCGACGCAGCAGGAGGTCAAGTGGATCAGGACAGTGGATGGGACAGCACTGAGGCAGGGGCACGGCTCTGTCCTTAGAGGGAAGCTGGGTGCAGTCTGTGGAAACCGAAGCACGTCCTGCCAAGGCAGAGCACGTGATGAGAACCGAACCCAGCGTGCTGGCGGCGCTCCAGCGGCTGTCACCTTCTCAGCCGCTCCGGGAGGAGTTGTTTCACTTTGAGGAGGAGGTCTCAAAGAGCCTCATGCAGAGTGGCCCTGGCAGTAGCTTGCCTGCAGGACCGTGGTTTGGGACCACAGCTGCGTGTGGCCAGACAGGCTCCTCCTGGGTATGGTACCAGGGGCTCAGAGGTGCTGCTGCGCTAAAGACCACGTCTCCGTGACCTCCTCCTCCCAGACAGAGGCTGCTGCTGGAGCCTGCGCCCCTGAGTGTTGTTTGCTGGGGTTTAGAGATGACATTTGCACAGAAACCGCTAGAGCAGGCAGAGAAACCTGAATCTCCGCTGTAAGGCGCGCTGTGGCAAGCTTGGCTAATGATAATAATAGAGGTTGCGCCTAATGGCAGGGGCGGGGCG